GATGCATTATGTAAAGGTACAATTCCCAATGAGAAATGTAATTGTGTTGTATACCTACAATGTACCAATAAAAGAATTTCATACAAAAAAAAAGCCCCTAAATTTTGTGAAACATTAAAAAAAAAAAAAGAAACTTCTTTATAGTCTTGTCTTCAGACAAGATTGACATCTTTCTCCAAGGCCAGAGGCCAGCCATGCCCACAAGTCTTGTTCCTTGTCAACCAGACCCAATCTTCTGGTACCCTGTAGCCCCCCTCCCCAGCAATATGCTTGGCCTAGGTTCCAGAGGCAGCTGGAAGGGAGCAGCTATGGGCTCATTCAGTTCTGTTGTCCATATCCAGAAGCCCTAGGAAAGTCCTGAGTCTCGATTCCTGGCCCTTGCAGGGGCTGGAGTCTGTACTAGGGTACACTCCCACTCCTGTACTACCTTTCTCTGAATGCGACAAGTTTTGCTTTGGTGTGCTGGGCTCCCAATCCTCTGGTAGAGATAGGAAGGCCTGCAATTATCCCCAAAGGGAGAGATGCAGATATGTATAACAAGCACCCAAAGAAGAATAAGTTGCCTGTTTCTCTAACACATATATTTACATATACATTATTTTTTGGATTTTAATTTACAGTTAATTTTTGCTTACAAAAAGGATGCAAGGGCCAGGGATTTAGCTCAGTGGTTCTGGCACCTGCCTCGCAAGCACAAGGACCTGAGTTCGATCCCTGGTACCAAAAAAAAAAAAAAAAAAAAAAAAAAAAAAAAGGATGCAAGCTGTAGAAGTGTGTCTTGGAAAACAAGGAACAAGTTCCTAGAAATTCTTTCAAAGAAAACAATGTTATCAATTTGTTTTCCCATTCTTTTTCAAATTTACTGAGAAACTGTTAGGTCAAATAACATCAAATAGATTTTAAAAGTTATTACATACATGGTAGATTTCTGTGATTGATTTTCAACAAATGGACACTAAAGGTACGAACACTAACATCAGGAAATCCATTATTACTTAAGCAACAAAATTGGTCCTCATTTTTGGAAAGACTGGGAACCTCAGCTCTTGTCTAAAAATTGCAGCAGCTGCTTAGTCACACTTTATTATTGCTTGAGACGAGGAAAGGCGTGTAGTCACAGCCCCCTGCAGGAGTGTTGCTTGGAGCGCAGGTGCTAGGAGGAGGGTGTAGCCAGCGACAGACACAGCCTCCCACAAGCCCTCAGCGGTTTGGTAAACAGAGAGATTCCCGATCTGTAGGGGTAAATTTAGACCCAGATTGGGGGTGGAGCTAGGGTGGCTGAGAATTTGGGAAGTCTGATTGGTTTGTTCCCCTGTCTGTAAGGTGATTGACGGCCCCTGCCCCCGCCCGGCTGCGCCTTTCGGCGCCGCGATCCTCGTCCCAGTAGGCGGGCGCCCGCCTAGAGCAGTGAGAGCGCGTGCGCGAGCTGCCTCACGCTGTGGCCGTGCCGGTCTATCCGGCTGCGCGCTCTCGCAGTCTGTGGGCCAACTGGAGGCGGGGCGGGGCAGCATGGCAGCCTCCTTGCGGCTCCGTGGAGCCGCCTCCGGCCTCCAGTACTGGAAACACCGGCAGCGGCCCGCAGCTGTCAGCTTTGCAGCGGGTAAGGACCTTGCGCCTCGTTTCCCTCACCTCCCCACCCCCAACCCACTCCGGCTGCCTGCTTCTGGCGACCAGACAGATGGCCCAAGAAGGTCTTTTCACGGGAGGTGCTGCAGTTGGATTAGGGTTTTAAAAAACAACATTTTGGCATCTTCTGCGGGCGCATTTTGTATCTCTGGCTGTCCCTTTCTGGCGCTCCAGAGATGCGAGAGTCGGTGCCCTTTTGGGGAGTTACGAAGAGATGGAGCAGAGCTCAAGAGTGAAGGGAGGAGTATTTGGGACCGGAGCGTGCTTTGAAGTTAGGGCTCTGAGGACACCTGGAGGGCCCAGCAACAAGGGCGACCTTGCACTTACTCGGGGGCCCTGGCCTTCCACGTCCCCCAGGCTGCAGGGCCCAGTTTGTGATTAACCACCACCTTTGGGTGGGCTGTCCGTAACCTAGCGTTCCTGCAAAGTTTGTCACCCTTGACCAGCAAGGCGGGTTACCCGCCCCCCCCCCCTTATGTAACTGCTACCTGAAAGTGACAGTTCTGTCAAATTATTAACCAAAATACTTTGAAAGTCCTCAAAATTGTGGCCAGAACCTGTTCTGCACCCCCGCCCCATGAGTTATGGAAGCCTACCAGGGTCATAGGAAGTCTCAGTGTTTAGAGCAGTGAAGATCCAGGAGCGGAACTGATTTAGTCTTTAAATTTTCACATGTGGAATCTGAGGCCCCTTGAATAAGTGAATTAGGATATCCCTAGGAGGATCTAGAAAGTAGTCCTTGATTTCTTCCTGCATTTTCTAGGAAACCAAAGTTCCCCTTTATTTGAAAAATTGCCTCATTTATGGGGACACTACCCTTGTGTTTCTGTAAAAGTTTTGAGTTCTTACCAAGGCACCGTTTAGCAAGATCATGTTTAGGCTTAACAGAAAAAAACCTTGGAGGTGTAACTCAGTGATAGAACACTTGCCTAGCAAGTACACCGCCCCAGGTTCTATACCTAGCTGTGAGGATAGGGAGAAACCTTAGTATTTTTTCTAAGCATTGCTTTTAAGAAAATACAAGGTTGGGCATTGAGTTCTGAATAGTTCCCAATCTTGCCCTTCAGGAAAACATGAATTTCCTTTCTGACTTGAGAAAGGCAGGCTCTAGAAGGACAGGCTGTATTTGATGAAAGATAACAAATATATGATACAGAGTCCTAGTAACAAGATAAAAATTCATAGAATGTATTTAAGCCACAAAAGGTACTTCTCACTTTGGAGATACTTTAAAAAAAACAACCAGTCACTTTTCCACAGTACTAATGGGAGTGGCAGTTTTCACATGAATGCATAATTCTTTCAGATTTGATTAACCAAGAAGATGTATTTACTACTTAGTGGTTTTACAAGGTGTTGTAATGATATCTTAATGAACCCATGATATAGCTTTTAGAGTTATGAAAGTTCTTAAATGGTACAAGAATTTGAGGCTTAATACTATAATATTTCCCTCCATATACTTGAAGGGCTTACCTCACAATGCTGTCTAGACTTTGCCATGTGGTCTTGTACTTTAGGTTTCTTTTGGCCCAAAGATATAAGAATATAGATTTATGAAAAATTTTAAGTACTTCTTTAGTGATGAAGTATTTAAAATACCTCAGTTGTTTTTTACTCAGAATTGTTTTACACACTTCTATTAAATTTAGTTTACTGCAAAAGAGTTAAATTTTTTAGAGGTTTGAGTCTTAAAGAATAAACTCTACATACAAATTTGGAGTCTAGGGACATTAAGAAAAAGAATCATTTTCAACTAGTAGCATTATTTAGTGTTCTAAATTCTGTGAGATATTTGTCTTCATAGTATGTTTAAGATGTTTGTATCGGATGGTAATGTAACAGATCCATATATTTATTAGATCCAAAGTTTGCTACTAAACAGCATATATTAATTTTAATATTCTTAAAGCATTACACAGAAATAGAAAAATGAGAAATATACTATGCATACATATCACCCATTAATAAAAGTAAATTTTGTATTTTAAAAGGTAATTAATTTTAGTTTTAGATTATTTTTTGTACAGAGTAAAAATCTACGCGTGTAGATCCTCTATACTTCTTGTGTCTCACCATGTATATGGAAAAATAACTTGTATTAGGTCATCTTAAAGTGACCACCTAGCCAAAGGTGGAATGGGAAAATTAACCAGCATCATATATAAAAATAGCAATATTAATTTTATTTATTATTGATCTTTTTTCTGTATATATGAAATGTACATTCAAAGCAGTATAATTAGCATAAATCAAATAAATCAATGGCATTTTTTCCATTTACTTTAACCAGAGTGGCCCATGAAGTTCTGACAAGTTACATGTGGTCCTGGGACTAAAAGCTGATCTTACACTTGTGAAATTACATTAGAAGGATATTTATTACTAAAATAACTTGACCCAAACTATAAAGGTCTTCCTAGAGTAAATCTTCACCCTTAGTGAACTTTTAGCATGAAGGAAAATAAAATATTTCTATCATATGAAAGTTTCTATCATATATTATGTTTCAGGACATAATTATGAGAGAATATACTGAAGCATAACATATGATAGAATAGAGCAACACAGTGTTTCGTATACACTAGTCCTTATCAGAGTCACCAACATTAGCCAGTCTGAAAATATTAAATGAAAAGATATTTTGAGAGAGACCCCATTATCTTTTTTAAAATTCCCCTATTTTATTATTAGTTGTTAATCTCTTACTGTGCCTAATTTACAATTAAACTTTATTACAGGTATGTATGTATGCAAAAAAAACCCCAAATAAAATGAATTGCACTATCCATGATTTTAGACATCCGCTGGAGGTCTTGGAACGTATCCTGCTTGAATTAAGGGGATAAGGGATTGCTGTACAATACAATCTTATAGTACTATCTAGTGAAAAAATGCATTCAAAAGATTAGAAGGGCCATGCAAAACCTCACAGTGATTTTTGTATAGTGACTTTCCCCCTGTAACTTGATCCTTTTTCATACTTTCCAATTTTCAGAATCAACATGTGTTACTTTGGTTAGGAGAAATCACTTTTGGAAATGTAGAAAAATCTATTACCATCTTTTGCATTTTAGAATTTTTTTTTTTTTTTTTGGTACCAGGGATCAAACTCGGGACCTTGTGCTTGTGAGGCAGGTGGCAGAACCACTGAGCTAAATCCCCAGCCCCATCTTTTGCATTTTAAACTTTAGAGTAGACAGATTTTGTTTTTGGTAGCATTTCAAATTACCAAGATATGGATAACTTCCCTTATATTGGATTTGAGAGTCTATAATGTGTGAATTTGCATCTACTATAAATAAATGTTGCCAAATTTTCTGGCTAGTTTCTTTACCAATCAACAAATATCGCTTTTGTTTATGTTGACCGATTTATTTCTAGCTTGATTTTACTTATGGTCTGACTTCGCTGTTTATACATACTACTGTTAGGATTTAAGAGAAGATGCGTTTTTTAGGTTTGGACGTTTTTAAGGTAATAATAATTCTTTTCTACTCCTTTGAATTTCAGCCCCTCTGGGAGCAAATTCTTCTGTTTGCAAGCACTCCTGAGGCTTCATCTTTGCTACAGGCTGTCTTTCTCCAGATACAGGGCATTCTCTAAATGTACCTGTACCTTCTTTAATCTCTTTGTTTCTTTCTTCTCACCCACTAGGTCATGAAGGGCTCCTTGGTATAGGACTTGTTCCATAGAACAAGTGCTACTTCTTGATCATTGTTAACAAAAATTGCTAATATTTATTGACTGTCATGTGCTAGACATTATTTAATGCTTTTTATGACTTATCTCAGGTAATCTTTACAATAACTTTCTGAAGTAGATACAGTACTCTTGTTGATAAAACAATATTTAGAAAAGATAAGTAACTTGTTACTGCAAGGACATACATCTAAGATGTGACCTTATCTGGATCTTGTAAACTCAGGGAAGATTTTTTTTTTTCGGCAAGGATGTTCATATTTTAATGTAGCTTGTGCCAAGCTAGACATACAACCATTCTTTGATTCAGTAAGTATCACTGAGGCTCTACTCTCTATCAGGTGGAAGGTAATTAAACACAGTATTGAAAGGCTGTTACCTGAGTTCAAGATACACTTTTCTCATTAAGTACCTCTCTAGGTTTGTTTGTTTTGTGGTACCAGGGATCAAACTCAGGACCTCATGCTTGCTAGGCAGGCACTGAGCTAAATCCTCAGCCTTCCAGGTTTGTTTATATCCAGACTCAAACTTATTTATAATCAGGAATTGGACTGATACCTTTGATAGTGTCCTAAAATTTCTTTTCTCAATTTTCTGCTCAAATTCTAAGTAATATCCAAGTCTGTGGTCTGTTCCTTCCCTCTGGATGCCATTTAGGTAATGATACAGAGTATCTCAGAAATTTGGATATAATGCTTTCATTAATCTCTTATTGATTCCCTATTACATTTTCAGATTTTCCACAGCACTTCAGATCTTTGCCTTAGCGCTGGCAGCCCCGAATTAGACATTTGGCAGAAATGGCATTATCAGTTGGTTTAGTCAGTTTGGAAACTGACCCTGAATCTCAGAAGAGGGCTATCAGAAAGTCAGCTGCAATGTTTTATGGGTGCTGTAACACAGTTTTCTTTTCTTGTAACACCGTTGCTACTCTGTAATTGCTTCAAAACTGGCTTTTATCTCCATGTGCCTATTTGATGAAACCTCTAGTTACTAGTTATTTACATAACACTTGTTAAATACTCAGTGTGTGCCATTTCATTTTGTTTTTGTTTTTTTTGTTATCAGGGATCGAATTCAGGACCTTGCACTTTCGAGGCAGGCACGGTGCCACTGAGATAAATCCTCGGCCGTTTCATTTTCTTATAGTTATGAAATTTACATGCTTATGACAAAAACTGAAAAGGTGTTAAAATAAAAAGTAGGATTTTAAAAAGTCTGACCCATTACTCCAACTCTCCAGATAGGAGAACTGTTTCGTGTGTGTCCGTA